TGCAAAACTAGTATCTATCTCAGCCCTCGTTCTCTCTCTCTTGAAAGATCAGCTTCTTAATCCACCATGTAAATTGTTGGCTCTGCACGTTATCTACTTAACAATCATGGCGTAGATTCAATTGGAGACAAATGTTCTCCAACATGATGGAAGAATTTCATGATGCATGTGTGTCAACGTGCTATGCTTGGGCACTTGGTTCCTTCATCCTCTAAGGCAGTGTACCTGTAGTAACCATATATAGAGGTGAACTAGAGTAGGAGAGGATGGTCAAAAGGCTTGAAGTGATACAGAAGTAACAGAGCAAGGGAGCTTTGTGAATGTTTTGGTCTCTCGGGAAAAATGCAGAGAGCAAAAAAGTCAATTGTGAATTTTATTGGAAAATACAATCATATCATTTACGCTGTAGCTTTAATACGTACTTTAGACAGGATCTTATGCTATTGACTGTAATGAAATTTCCGACTTTCTTGAACTTGCATTGGTGAAATCTTATTCTTTCTACCAAGTTATATATGAAAATTGAAATAGTTGAAATTATCCCGGTTATTTATACAAAAAAATTGTCATTTCTGATGTGAATATTATGTTTCTGGCAGCGTTGCAGTTGGATCCTAATAATGATTCTGTCAAAGAAAATATTCGGGTTAGTTAATGAATATTATTGAAAAGATTGTCTTATATAGTTATTTTATAATCTTATAATGTTTTTGTTTGTCATTTGAAATTCTAGGTTGCCGAACAGAAGCTGAGAGAAGAGCAACAAAGGGCGGGAAGTGAACAGGTACTAAATTTCTGCATACCCCCTCACCCCCTCCACCAAAGAAAAAAGGAAAGAGAAAAAGAGTAAAATGCTGGTCAAAAAGAGATTTATACTACTTGAGATACCAAAAATGAATCCTATAGAAATTGATTGTCTAATTTAATGGTTGTATTTTAAGAATTGAGCTTCCCACGGTTTTCACTGCAAGAATGTAGCTCCCATTTCGTCTTAAGATTCTATTACACATTCGAACACCATAGAAGACAGCAGATTTTTGTGCAGTTGGACACCTGCATTTGTCGTTCTGCCGAATTCTTAAATTTTCTTTACTGTATAATCAATCAGGTTAAAAACTGGGTAGTTATTGAACTTTTAGGGGAAATGCCACATTGGCACTGAATTTCATTTTGTTTAAAGTTATTCATTGGACTAATTTTATTCAAACTGGTCATTGAACTTGAATATCATTACAGTTCGATCATTGAACTTGAATATCGTTACACTTGTATCATTCCATCCATATCCTCTAGTTTGACTAACGGGAAAGCTGATGTTGTAGTCTATTTGACAGCCTAGTCAGCAAGTTACTAAATTGCAGTGTAACCCTTCCCATTTTTCATATTACTGGACTTGGATGGAGGAACCAAATTGTAAAGAAGTTTCACTTTAAGTGATCAACTTGAAAAAGATAAAGTTCACCATTGCATTTAACCTGTAATCAATCACTTAAACTTCTTTGATACTATTTCCATGGGCAGGGCTCAAGTTCTGGGGATCCTCATGGATTCGGAGGGGGATCGAGGGGTCCTGCCCCACCACCACCGTTTACATCCATGCCATTTAACATTGATGGTCTACCTGCCGATATCACAAGCATGTTTACAAATATGGCTTCCAATGCATTCCAAGGATCACATTTTCAAAACAGACCTGAACATGATAGTGAATCTGATGCAACCAATGAGCCAGGAATCAGAATAGGTGGTAACATTAATGTTGGTGAAATCCCCGAGGAGATATCGGGGGCTTTAAGGTCTGTTATGGGTATGTTCTCAGGAGCAGCGCCTGAAACGAATCCACAAGATAACATCAATGGAAGATCTGCTCCAAGATGAGGCATCTGTTTTCGACTGAACAAATTGTGTAATCTTCATCTTGGCCTGAGGACGCGGGTTTTGATGTTGCCTCAAATATATATATATTACTCTGTATATTTACAGGGAGCAATATGGGATGGTTTTTGGAGAAAAAATTTAACTTTGTTGTATTTAAAATCCACATTTCACTTGCGGGCAATTTCTGGATTTGTACATTGTTCGTGTGGATAATCAGTATCCTCTCTCTGTAGTATTGCCCATTTCTTAGTGGAATGTCGTTTAGGTCAAGATATTAAATCTATGCAAATTCTTGTGTTGTGTCCTAGGTCACCATCGGATTTGCTGCTCGAGTAGTTCTTGTAAAAAGTCCGACTCCAAGTTGTAGATTGGTTGCTTCTTTTCATTCAGGATTAGTCAGTTCTATTTTTTAATTGATGCAGAAAAAGGATATGATTCATTAGGAATATAGATTTTACTAGTTATCTTACTAGGAATATAGATTTTTAGTCCTATTTTTAATATTGGTACTAGTTTTCTTACTATTGGTCCTCTCTCATTGAAGAAGGAGATGGTGGGCAGCTAGTCAACTCCTCAAGATGTCCAAACATCCGTGAGAAGTCACTCACATTCGAAACCGAAGGTTTGTGCTCAGTCTCAAAAGATCGTTCGAATGATAATCATATTAGGGGTGGGGGGGGATTGAGCTTTTTTTAGTAAAGCTTGGTTAAATGATCCAAAAACACTATTTAATGCAAATTGGATGTGCGTTTTGACGGCTAGATTTTGGTTGTATCAACAAACACTATTTTCTTTGCAAATATTATTTTTATTAATAGGTCAGCTGCCATAAATAATTTTGGATGTCAAATAACAGCTCGAAATATATAGGGATTGATATTTCCTGGGAGTTTGTTGTCATAGTTACGAGTCTTAGCCTCTATGCACATGTATCATCACAGGATACACAAGGAATGGCTAGTTGGAGTGGCATATTACTCATGTTTGACTTGCTTTGTAATTGGGAAGGCCAAGCCCTCTTGGGAAATGGCTTGTGTACAGAAAGTCTTGCACAGATTTTCTCCAGATTAGGCATATGGGGGTGGACACCATGTGAATATTTTATTGTAATGGGCCCTATTGCTGTGAGTATTCTGTAAAACATATGTAAAAAAAATTTCTGTAAGTGTAGCATTACTCAGTCCTCTTTACTTGGATTCAATTTAGCCTAATTGCAATTTTATTTTTACCTTTTTTCTTGTAAATAGAGGTCATGACAATGAACAAAAAGAAAATAAAAGCAAAAATGTTTAACGGTGCCATTTCGTGGGAGTTGGTTGCCATTGTCTAGAGTCTCGACTATAGCACATGTATAATCGCAGGATACGCAAAGGAATGGCTAGTTGGAGTGGCACATATCTTTGACTTGCTTTGTTATTGGGAAGGCCAAGCCCTCTTTATTTGGATTCAATTGAGCCTAATTGCAATTTGGGCTGTGCTATGCACCCAGCACCATTCACAGCCCCTCTCACATGAAGGGTCCCCTCAAGGCATGGGGCCCCCTCGTGTGAGGGGATTGTACTTTGTATAGTTCGACGTGGACTGTGCAAGGAGAAAATTTTATTTTTCCTTTTTTTCTTGTAAATAGAGGTTATGACAATGAACAAAATGAAAATAAAAGCAAAAAAGT